GTCTATTAAAATTATCATAAGCACAAAACACTGAGGGCAAACAGTTTCCATCAGGTAGAACTGAGTGGCTCTGAAATAAATTTGCAAACAAGCAAAGTTTCAGTTTTAAGATTTATTTGCAACTTAGTTTAAATAAAAACTAGTTTAAATGTAAACAAGTTCACGTTTAATAAAAACTTGATTTAATCACAGGTTCACAAATGAGTTTTCCTTTGCTAAACTGCATCTGTAGGTCTCTGTTCATAAACATAAACTAGCCAAAATAAATTTACTATAAAATAAAATAGTGTTTGTATAAATTCAGAAAAAAGACACGTCAGTCACAACTGCATATGAGTACGTATTTCTGTATTGTGGTCTATTACCCAGGCACTGTACCCTGATTGGTGTGCTTGCTTTGCGCTTCTTTCGTTTTGATATGTAACGTTTTTATACACACATAAGCCAAAAGGACAGATTTTGCATAACGTAGTGAAGTAAAAAGTAAGATATTTAACTTTGAAGTGTAGTGGAGTGAAAGTAAAAAGTCACCCAAAATGGAAAAACTTCAGTAAAGTAAAGATACACAAAAAACTTCTTAAGTACAGTAACGAATTACATTTACTTCGTTACTGTCCACCACTGGTTTTTAAAGCCAACCCTGCTTAGTTTTACAATAGCTTCTATTCATCGTTTTGGAGACATCTGTCTCTGAATATGGATTATCAGTCAACTGGTTTAAGTAGTTAATAAATATCGTGTGCAGCATTCTTTGGCATCAGTGAAATACTAACATAATTTACAGTACTTTAGAGGCTTTACTTGTGGACTTTGGACCAAGATGCATTATATCTTCTGTAGAGACAGGTGATGATATTTGAATTGTATTACACTACCATTCACAAGTTTGGAATCACTTGAAATATTAAATGGGAAATCCACTGATTAACTCCACAATAACTTGATGTGAGGTACCTTTTAGGGTCATTAAACACTTCAGCCTTCTGGTTCCTTTCGCCACCACTGTGAATAATTCTGAATTGGCATGTTTCTCTAGAATGAAGCATTTCACATCAAACCACTTTGAATGACACTGTGTGCACTTAAACAATAAAGTAATCTGTGGAATTCCCCTGTAATTTTTGTAATTTTATACACAGGCCTTGTAGATTTACCTGTTTTTATTTATTTATTTATCTTTGAGGTCAATCAGAATGTATAAAATGGTAAACCATATATTTTTATTCTCTGTTTGTAGTCATTTTGATAGGTTTTCTTCTTTTAAATTTGATTACCACTTTTGAAATATAATTCTAAGTATATTAATGTTGTTATAACTTTATTCATAATGTTCTACAACTTTCTCCGTTTTAAAGCTCAGCGTTAGCTTTGTTTAGTATTCTGGATACTTGATTCTAGATATTCTGGATCTAAAATTTTGTAATTTTTCATAGCTTTGCCGCTTTCTGTAATTAACTGTAACTGGTGAAGGAGCATTAGAAACAATTTTAAACATTTGTCTGCAACAAAATTGATTTATTGTATTAAAAACATTGAATGATATTGAAATTACATGTTGCTGTTGTCGGAGGAAAAACTTGTATCTCCAAAATGGTAACTTTACAGGAGAAGAAAAAACCTACTTCACCTTTAAATGTAAGTCAATGGAACCGGACTTTTTTCCAAGTCATTTTGGACCGTTTCTTTTGGTCCATTCATCATGAAATTTACACACAATGTGAAGAGCTAGCTATTTTCAAACTATGTCAAAAACAGAAAAATGACAAAAATGGAGATGCGAGGTTTTCTTCCGACAGCAGCGATATGCATATTGCATATTGTCTCTTTATCTCCTGAATTGAAACAATATTGAAGCAGCAACCAGTGCTTTAAATGTGAGCAGAGCTTGTTGAAGCAGCAGTGATAGTAACTGAAACAATAGGTCCTCTTGAGTTTAAATGTTGGGTTACTGTGATGGTGGTATGTCATTCCACACAGGACGTGGGTGCCTGGAGTGGATTTCCTGTTAGGAGAGGATGGGGGGGTTGGAGAAGAGTGAGGAAGAGGCTTGGCGAAGAAGATAGATGGGTAGTGTGTGTCAGTATGTTGGTCACAATAGCTGGAAATGTGTTTTTGTTTGCTCAGCAAAGGTGTGAGAGACTTATTTCAGTAGTTTTGTTTGTCATATTTGGTTGTCATTGTCTTTTTAACATCTCATTGTCTTTTTAACATTCATTACTTGCACCGTTTGAAGATGCTGTCTGCCTTTTACACAGTGTGAACATTACATGGTGAATAGACAAATAGAAGTGGTCAAAAATTACTTGCGGGAAAAAACATTAATGTACATAAAAAGTTAAGAAAATTTAAAGCCAAAATGGCCATTAAGTACAGATGACTTATTTTCAGAAATAAAATGACAGAAAACAGTGTTGCTGTCCAAAAAGCAATAAGCATCTATATTTTATTGATGTTTTTTTCTCCATCATTTGAGCAAAGCAGCTTTCACTTCGCAGTGTGTGAAAAGTTTATGAATGGACCAACAGAAATGCTTCAAGATGGCTTGGAATAAAATTTCTTTACATTAACTTCCATTAAGAGTAAATTATTTTAAAAGTAAATTATTAGTAAAGTATTTTTTGGACCATGTTGCTTTTAACCGAAAATGTACGTTGATTTTTAATTTTAAACATGAAATCAAGTATTTGGTTCCATTCTTTTTCTTGCTTTCAGTTTTTCAATGAAATCTGCAGGGATATTTTTCCACACCTTTAAAGTTCAGTCTTAGAAGTTGCTTGTATTTTCTGCCTCTCCCCATTCAAATAATCCCAAACACATCCAGTGACACAGAGTTCTGGACTCTGATGTGGTCACTCTATTGCTCTGAGAACACAAGCAGTTTTTTTTTTTTTAATTTCTTTTTACTCTGTTCCTTTTTCAGTGGCAGGATGGACAGAAATGCTTGTGGATTTTTTAAAATCCAAAGCAAGAATGGATTTTTATTTTCTTCTGTTTCTCGAAGATAAAAGCTTTAAGTACTGTTTGTTTGATAGTAACAGTTTCGGTGATCCACCAGGTCTGCTTGTAACGAGCCCCAGTTTTAGAATCTCCTGCTTTCGGCTTTCTGTGTAAGAGTGGTTTATGTTATATCTTATCTATGCAGAAACGTCCTTAAAAATGAATAACTTGCTGGTATTTTGGCTGGAAATTAAATAAATAAAGGGTGATGTCTGACCCTTGCACAGTACTGTAGATACATGGCATAATTCTAGAAATAAAGCCGTTTCCCCCATTACTTCCCATCAACTCTGAGGCAAACTGGTCAGGAAGTCATATATCCAGGCCTAATTGCGTTGGAATCATCCTTGCTAAGGGGCCTAACTGCCTGTGCATGTCAGGCGGTGCTGCAAATTGCCTCCACATCCTGTTTAGCCTCTCCTCAGGTCTGGAACTATAGCGGCCTGTCACGGGCACCGCTGACAGCTTCCTCATGGTGGGCTGGCACAACTCGACAGGGAGATGATCTAGCATAAGCCCCTCCACACCCACTCCCAGTTTTCCTCATTAAGGTCAGGATATACATAAGGGGCTCAGCTGGTCTGAGATCTGTTTTAGGTCAGCAGTGCTGGGGTGCTGATAATATGGATGAGTTGGAGAGGCCGGGTTTCAGCAGTGTAATCTGCAAGAGGCAGCATCTGCTTATCAGCGCTGTGTGCTGTGCCAAAACTGGGGTGTTGTTAAGCCTCTGCCATGGGTGTAGTCAAACCCTTGTAATGGGCAGTCAACACATGACATAAGGGCAGGCTTAAACTGTCTCCCTCGTCATGAGAGAGGCTGTTTTCTAATGCCAAGCTATTTAGCTGTGAGTATAATCTGTTTTGTATTAGCATACAGATGATAAAGACTACAAGAAATATGTGTTTTAGCATTAAAGTTATTATTATTGATTTATATTATTTGTTGGGATTTGACCAGTTGACTCTTAGAGGAAGAACTATCTGTGTAATTTCATCAAATCCTGGATTGAAAGGTCTATGCCTGAATTTACACATCAGTGTTATGTGTAGCAGGCAGTGCACTCAGTTTTGTTTGTTTGTTTGCTTATTTATTTATTTAATGGGGCAGATACATGAGCAAAAAGTATGATGAATAGCCTGGTGCCATATAAAGGCAATGTTTAGAGCTACAGTAGTGTGTAAAATCAGAGAGCACCCTTCATGTATTTAATTACCAATCAAAACTGCCATTAAGCACAAGTTGTTCGTTTTTCACATGATATTTTTGAGGAAATTCAGTCTCAGAGAATCCACTTGCATAAGGAAACTGGGAAATTGGACTCGACTGCGCAAGACCTGGTAGACCACCAAAATAGTCACCATCAGATAAACATTACTTGCAGCTTTAATCTTGGAAAAACAGGAGAAAATCAAGCTCCACTCTTCAGATGTGGGAAAAAAACTTTAAGGACACAGCTTAACGCCGTGAGCGTAAACGGATTGGTAGCTGTCCAAAAACCATTACTGAGAAAAGAAAATAGACAAAAAGAGCTCACTGAGTGTGTTGAGGTTTACTTGGATTGTCAGAGGCAAAAGATGTAACAAACCTCTAAGACTGAACTTTGTAGATGTGGAAAAATATATATTCTTTCAAATTTCCCAAAATAACAGAGTTTCTTTAATGAAGCTCTAATAAAGGCGAGGGGTTTAGGCTTTTGTTATTGAGGTGTCTTAGTTTTCTGCTTTTTTCCTGACCATGAAAAATGCAGAACATTTTGACTGTATTGTATGGTATTGTGACTAATGTATTAGCATACAGCTATGAATAGCTTGTCCATTAGTAGGTTATGTTATTAAATTTAGACGAAACTAATCCAGTGTGAACAGAGCTTGAGTCTTTGTGTGTCCACCGTCCCTGAGCTCCTGTATTAGTCCAGTCTTAAAAAGGCTTTGTAGCGAGTGACCTCTTTGTACTGTGTCTGTCCCCCAATGATTAATGTTGTTTCATCTTTCTTTGCTTCCCAGCAGTGATTGCGGCATCATGGCCTCAGGATCTGCAGACGCCACCGCAGCCCATGAGCCATCGGATGCAGCAGAGGAGTGTCCAGGTAATTCTGTCCGTAGTGTGCCTCTAAAAGGCTTCCTTCACCCAGGAACACCAATGATGATAGTAATGGATGAAAGCTAATGAGGGCCACTCAGGCAAATGAGATCATGCTAACCATTTTCCATGAACATCATTCATTGTTAGCTACATTTGCATTTAACTGAAGTAATCTTTCACTGGTATATCTACCCCACAGTAAAGCATGGGAAGTCTGTGGAATTACTTATGTTTATGTATGAAGACGTCTTAGAATGTGGTCTGGTCATCATCTAAATCACAATAAAGAACAAATACAAGCTGTTTGAACTAAGAACACCAAAAAATAACGTTTTATTCTTGTCCAAATTGAATACGTCATGGAAACCTTCACGGTGTAGGTTGGAAGAAGTGTGAGAACCCCTAGGCTAATGACTTCAGCAAAAGCTAATTGCGGTCAGTGGTTAGCAAACCTGGAGTCATATCAATGAATTGAGATTGGAATTACTGGTTAGAGCTACTTTGACTCATAAAAACCACTCAACATGCATCATGATTTAGGGCTACTTTGCTGCCTCTAGTCTTGTACCAATTGCCATCATGGAGGGAAACTTCAATTCCCAAGTTTTTCAAGGCATCCTACAGGATCATGTTAGGGTGGCTGACCACTGGCAGAAGCTTTGTTGAAGCTGCTTGATGCATCAGGACAATGACGCTAAACAACAAAGTAAATCTACTATAGAATGGCATAAAAAAAAAATAATCTGCCTTTTGGAGTGGCTCAGTCAGAGGCCAGACCTTAACAGAGTACAGATGCTTGGAATGACCTCAAGAGAGCCGTTGACCCCAGACTTCTGAAGAATATAGCTGAGCTGAAGCAGCTCTATAAGGAAGAATAGTCCAGTATTTCTCTTCAGTAAGCTTATGCTTGAGGTTATCGCTGCCAAAAGAGGTTTGATAAGTTATTAAATTTAAGGGTTCACTTATTTTTTCCACCAGCACTGTAAATGTTCAGTTGATGTGCACAAGAAAGACATGAAAGATTATAATTGTTTGTGTCTTATTAGTTTTAGCACATCGTGTTTGTCTATACTTGTGACTTAGATGAAAAACAGATCACATTTTTTGACTGGTTAGTGCAGAAAACTAGGTAGTTCCAAAGGGTCCACATACAGGATATTTAAGGAATCCTTTTACGCTATTCAGTCCTAGTCCTGGAGCCACTCTGCGTGGTACAGTTTAGTCAACGATCCTCAGCCAAATGCCAAGTCAAACCACAACGTCTAAAAGCAGCGAAAGCTCAAAAATATGCAGTGCATAGCACCAAAATAGGGAGTGAATGGATGTTTCGGATGACTCATATCGTTAGTTTTCATCTTGCCCCCCTTGACTTCATTTACTTACACCAAATCCACTTAGCTAAAGCATGAACGCATCAATTATAAATGGAGGATTAGATTGAGTCAGCCTCTGGGAGCATGCACACGATGCTTGTTCTCACTGGCAGCAAGTCAAGTTGCAAAGAGACAAAGCCAACATTTTTTTTCCCTCTCCCATACGAACGGGCTTTCTGCTGGCCCACACTTGACCTGCCCCCACCCTCCCCACCCACCACAGTGTGGGAAGGAGGAAGTCCCATCACATCCAGAGGAGTTTGTGTGGAGAAGTAGATTAGCCATTTCCTCGCGGAGTAGGTTGCTCAGACGAGGAGGATAATCCCTTCTATCGGATTGGAGGTCTAAAGCAGAGCAACAAGTCCGTTAAGATCAAGAGTTGGTCAATAGCGGAGGTGTGCTTGGCAATAGGCCAGCAGCTTAATCCTGTGTGACCACCTGAAGGAGCAGCCTTCCACACACAGAACACTCTTCCTAATGAATCGTTAACAGGGGCTTAAAAGATTTTTTATGTTGTGATTGGATCACTTAAAAAACAAAAAAGATAATGCATAACTGCAATAACTATAGCCTTTAAGTATGTCATCATATAATTAAGCTTAAGCCATTTTATCATTTTAACAAGAAGCAAATTATAGCCTGTAAACAGACTGCCAAAGGATCCAAGAAACTATCAAGCCATACCAAAAAATACTGAATCTTACCACAAACGACCAAACCATACCGAAAATTACTAAACCATACCAAGAACTGTCAAACCATATAATAACTAAACTATACCAAGAACTATCAAACTATATCAAGAACTACCAAACCATACCAAAAACAATCAAACCATATTAAGAACTATCAAATCATACCACAACCAAATCATACCAAGAACTACTAAACCACACCAAGAACTATCAAACCATACCAAAAACTATCAAACCATACTACGACCAAACCATACCACAAACAACCTAATCATACCAAGAACAGTCAAACCATACCACAACCAAACCATACCAAGAACTATCAAACCACACCAAGAACATACCAAAACCAAATCATACCAAGAACTACCAAACCACGCCAAGAACTATCAAATCATACCAAAACCAAACCATACCAAGAACTATCAAACCACACCAAGAACTATCAAATCGTACCAAAACCAAACCACACCAAGAACTATCAAATCATACCAAAACCAAACCATACCAAGAACTATCAAACCATACCAAGAACTATCAAATCGTACCAAAACCAAACCACACCAAGAACTATCAAATCATACCAAAACCAAACCATACCAAGAACTATCAAACCTTACCTTGACCAAACCATGCCACAAACAACCAAATCAAACCAAGAACAGTCAAACCATATCAAGAACTATCAAACCATATCAAGAACTATCAAATCATACCACAACCAAATCATTGCAAGAACTATCAAATCATATCAAGAACTCCCAAACCATACCACAACTGAACCATACCAAGAACAACCAAACCATACCACACAACATACAAATCATGCCAAGAACTACCAAGCCATACCACAAACTACCAAACCATACTAAAAACTACCAAACTATACCAAGGACTACCAAACCATATCCAAAACTGACACACAATAAAAACAACAGAGTTAATTTGCAAGTTTCTGACAAGAAAGCATGTTAATTTTTCTAGTTTATGCACTGCAGGAAACGTAGTGTTACCATATAGCCTATGTTAAAATGGGCTATTCCTTGTAAGTGTAAGGAGCAGCCAGCAGTCTGGAATTTTTCTGTGCACTCTGGAAATACTTTCAGACAGTGCACTGAAAGGGGGGTTGCGACCTGCCTGCAGTTAACACTCCTGACTTGACTTCGACTCTGTTTGTCCCAGGTCATCTCTCTAATGGTCTTGAGTACATCACTACTATTAAGATTTGAACATTTGTAGTGTCCTGCTGTCAGTGACTTCGTGCTGACCCACTGAAGCATTCACCAGAGTTTATAGCAAGACACAACTATCATGCATTCCTGAGCCAACACTCGAGCACATAGGAGCATGAACAGCTCCTCATCCCTCTTAGACTGAATGGATATCTGTGTTCACTCTGGCTGTTCTCAGAAGGCCATATATAGTATTCATTGTAGAGTAATCAGATGATTGAGCATGGAGGACGGGAGAGCAATACATAGAGTGCTCTGTGTGTTTGTTTACTCCCGTTAGACAGTCCGCAGCTGGAGACTGCACACTCTGCCAACACGACTGCGACATGTGATTCTCCCTAAGACAGGAGAGAGAGGCAGAGACAAAGAGAGAGAAAGAGGGACAGGATAGCAAAACAAGAAGAGCCCCATTAGATAGATACTGACGTCTCAACCACAGACGGAAATTAGAAAGCGATGGCACCGCTTTCTCATTCTGCTTCACGTTACCAGCAAGTTTGTGATATTTCAGATTAGATTCGTTACAGAATCAGTGTAAATGTATTCTTTCTTTCCTCGGTTTGGCTCAGCACTGATACTGCATATCGGAATGGTGCCATCTCTAAGATTAGAATCCCAGAGGAAATTTTTTATTGCTCACATGTTGCTCTTTGATGGCTCAGGAGACTTAATGGTGATTCTCCTGAAAATCTTTGCGGACATGGCATTATAATATAAGGAGACCAAGACGCACTAGAGCAGGTGTGCACAACTTCGGTCCTGGAGGGCCAGTGTCCAGCACAGTTTGGTGATTTACCTGCTCCAATACACGTGATTACATTCATCTGTTAATTGCCAGTCTTTTAGGGGGAAACCTCCAAACTGTGCTGGACCCTCCAGGACTGGAGATGTGCACCCCTGCACTAGAGATAAAGGAGAGACGAGAGTTTAGTTGCAGATAAAGATGAGTGCTGTTATTTTGGCAAATTTGAGCACAATGTATGACTTTATTGAGATCTCTGCTCTGTAGCTCAGTAGAAATGTCAGAGCAGCAGGAGGCCTAAGAGATATTACAGAGTCATCTTTCATATGGGTTGGTGTAAGTTCATATTTTGAATAGTAAAGCCTGGCAACCTGGGGCTGTAAGGTCCTACTGTTCTCTCTTACAGTAAAAGAGAAAGTGGTGCACACTCATTTTTAAAGACTTCCTATTTATGTTTTTCAAAGAAACTCTTCGGGAATTTTCCTTTTAGAAGTCTGTGTATGGTTTGTTGTTGTGCAATTAAGTCAATTTTGTGTTGTTTAGCCTTAAAAAAAAACAAAAAAATCGATATTAGTGTCTGAAAATAGTAGGGCTGTAACAATTAAATTATATTAGACAGTGGTGTCTCAATTAGATTCAATTTTGACATAACAAAATAAAACGTTGCTGAACTACACCAGTATGTGTAGTTGCTCTGTAAAATTGTAATTTTAACATTTTAAATACATTAAATAACAAAAATTTAATTGAATTGTGACCTTATTATTAAAATTCATTTCAAACTTAATGATATGTGCATAATTACAACCTGTAACTGAAAATATGTGCACGGTAAAAACAGTCACATATGAACACAAGGTACTTCTTATTTTTACTATATCAAAAAATAAAGTCGTATTGAAATGTCGCTGCATCGTATCAAATTAAATTTAGATTTTTATGTATTGTTACACTGCATTTATAGTGTCCCAATCTAATGTTCTAGCCACAAGCTAATATGTTAGCCCCAAGCTAACATGCCACTTACGGTACAATGCAATACGATACAATAATACGCTGCGAAATTACATTATATAGACTCAGCTGTACTCATAACCCAATGACAACAACTCATGATCAGGTTGTCTTGAGGTTTTTGGCCCTGCAATTCTATTAATTCTTAAAGAGCTACTCTGAAGGACTCTGAAACGTAAGTGGCTGTCCTGGGTTGTAAACTGCAATTAAGTTGTAGTCCAGGTGTGTAATTGGATGTGGGCTGTTGTTTAGAGTCGCAGTGAGATGTCTAGCGTCTAAGTATGGCCCTTACCACCACACGGCAAGCCCTAATTAGGCTGCATGCCCAAGTGTTCAGTAAATGAAAGACTCGCCCAGCTGGTAAAGGTCTTCATCCCATGATTGTGTACTGGGCAGTGCTTTCTCAGCTGCCACTGGCTCTATTTCAGTAGAATAGGACTGACCTTTTACATTAGATTTGCCCTTTCAAAACCTTTATTATTAATAGCACATTGTTTTCGGATAATGATGTAAATGACCGGCTAAATAATGCACATGCTACATTATGTAGAAATGAGGAAGCAGATAAAGCAAGAATTGCTTCCAGATAGATGGACGGATAGAAGGACTTCACAGTATATTGGCAGGTGATATATTATTCGCTGATAAATTTTAGATGTAATTATTATTGTTAGTGCAGTATTAGAGTTATACTACATTTGATTATCAAGGTGACCTCCACAATAATTCTATAATATGCAATACAATGTACAATAAATATTGTGTACACTGCAAAAAATAGTATCTTGTCAAGTATCTGCCAATATAGTGAGATATTTTTTGTACTAAAATGACTTAGGAAAAAAAAAAACATAGAAAAAAATGTTTGAAAATAAGTTAAATAGTCTTAAAATAAACTTAGAACAACCTTAGCAGACGAAATATTGGATATATCGACTATATTTAAGATGAATTTACTATTTTTTTGCAATGTAAAGGTCTAAGGCACCTAGGAACACAATTTAAAACTATTTATTTTGGTGTTTTGCTTGAAAAAAAACACTGTATAACATTAGAATAAATGCAAACAAACAATTTGTTTTAACATATAGAACGACTGATGAACCAAACCCGGTATTAACACAAACAATCCTGGCCTTAGAGGTTTGGAAATGGTTAAAACATTGACACATGTCAAATCACTATTTTTTGCTTGAATGTTATTTGTATTTATCCCAATGTTAGTGTTTATCTGAGCAAATAAATGTTTATTGATCACATTAATTCCTTTTTAAACATTTGTCTTTTTGTAAATATCATTTTCTTATGCTTGCTGCGTTTCATATAAGGCTAATAGTGTGAACTTGTTTTAAAATGATGAAAAGTAAAAAAAGAGGGAGCTTTTGGTTTCATTATTGGCCTCAACAAAGGGATAATTATCGATTATTGTTAATGGCCCAGAAATATCTCGTTAGCTCATCTCTAAGGGATGTTTAATATATAGCACTGTGCAAATAAAATAGACCACCCTTTCATTTATTTGATTTCCATTCAGAACATCCAGGGAAAAAAGCATAAAACCGTATGTTTAACGGAAAATTACACAGAGGCCTGAGCAACAAAATATAACAGCTTTTTGTTCAGTATTTATTACAGCATCCATTTTTGCAGGAGACTTGCTTTCAGCTTTTCAAACAAATCTTTGGTTGCATTTTCTGCTTCTCACGATCCGAGTACAAACATTTATAAATTATGAACCAGCCCAGAAAACCTTACTCCACATCACAGAGCTTCAGTTTCTGTGTAATTATATGATAAATGTATGTTCACTGCTTTTTTATGACGCTGAAATTTGAATATGTTTTACTTAAAAGGGCACTTTGTAAGTTTTGGGGATTTGGTGACCTGTCTGGTGGAAATGTATTGAAAATGTAATTGCAAGCAGCATGCAGAAGAAGTTTCAAGTTTATTTGTCATTTGCACAACATGTCAAGACATTCATGCATTGAAATGCTTGTGGCGAGGCTCAGGTAATCACTCTACAGAAGGTAAACAAAGTAAAAATAAAAATGCAAGAAAATACTGAAACTGAAATATTCAATATATATTATATTATATATAGTATATATTAAATATACACAAATATAGAGACAGGAGGGACCTGTGTAAGGAGGAAAAAAACTCTGCTATGTACAAATATGTTTATATTAAACAAAGGATAAGGCATAATCTGTAAATAATATATACATTTTAAAGTGACTTAAGTGACTCAGTGGTATTGTTATTTAAAGTGACTTAGTGTTAAAGTGTTATTGTCCATAGCAGTAATATGATATAACAATACTGACAAAGTGAGTGAGTGAAATGGTGGTTAGGGAAGGACCCACACAACATTCTGTGTAACCCACAGAATATTGTGTAACATGGGTTGTGTTTGGACCCCTTCCCCAAGTGGATGAATCTGATAATTGTGAGCGCTTTGAAAGCGTATTCAAAGAGAACTCAGTTAAAACTTGGTGAAGTACATGTTTTCTGAAGTGAGTGAATTTCTGTTGTCATCATATCTTCATCAGCGTGATGTTATTTTGCGTTTGAGACCTAAACATCGAGCTGGACCTTCTTTGAGTCTGTGGATGTGACATTAATACATGAAGACGTATGATGTGGACCAAAAAAACTCAAAATCCAACCCAACACCTCTGACTTATGAACTGTTATATCAGGCTGTGCAGGTCACACCATATTTTAACGTTATATTCTCGAATGACTCACTAATGCTACTTCTTTCAATTTTAATAAAAAAATTACATAGTGCAGCTTTAATGGCTGTTTTGGCTGGAAATTAAACAGCCGAAAGTGTGGTCTCTGATTTTGCGCAGTACTTAATGAGAAATTTAAGCTTTGACCTGGTAAAAACACTTAAAGTTCGAGTTCCATTTGCGTCTCGTGCCATTTTAATGCTCCCACCAGGAGGACTGTGGTTAGGAATACAATAACCTGAAAGAAAACCACAGCAAACCAAATAACTCTTTAATATGGAATCAAGAACTCCCAGTGCTAAGAGACTTACCACACAACCGGTCAGCCAGCTCACTTTATCACAAGAAATGTAGCACTGGCCAGTTCTCAGGAGACTATTGCAGTTTTAAACCTCCACAGGGTTCTTTAATGAAGGTAAAAGGCTGTAAAACCATGGTACTGAGAATTTCCACAGGGGTGCTAATGTTAGCTGAACCACTGGGATGCTTTTACAGCTGCTGAAAGGAACAAAACAACCCTGGCTTTATTAGCAACTGATGTTAGATTAGCATTCTATGCTCCCAGGAGGGAATGAATCAAGGTTTGTCAATGATAGAGGTTCTTAAACCTGCAGTATGGGAGTGTTATTATGATGAGAATGTGAAAAGTTGAATACAAATTGTCAGTTTAAAGGGAAATTCTGCAATAATTAAATGGTTAAGATGTAAACGAAGTCATTCAGAGTGGTTTGAGGTGAAATGGTCCATTCTAGAGAAACTTTCCAAGTCTGAATTGATTGCAGTGGTGGTGATGGGAACCAGATGTCTGAAGAGTTTAATGCCTCTGAAAGTTACCAAAATAGTGTGCAAAAACATTTTGTTCCCCCGATTTTTCCACTATTGTAGTATTACTACATCTAAAATTGTTTTGGATAGTAAATAAAATGTATGTATGTAATGTGCATTGTAGACATTGCAACCCCTGGTTCCCATCACCGCTGCTACAAAGAGATCTGAAATCTGATAAGTTTCTCTATAGCATTTTACATCACAGTACTCTGAAAAACTTTGTTTATATCTTAACTTGAATTATGCAGGAGTTTTGGGAAATCAGTGGAATTCCCCTTTAAAAAGGCCCACTTTGGTCCTTCACTTCGGTAAAAGACCTTTTATTCTGTTACTAATGTCAGAAGAACTGATTTTATTTATTTGAATTCTTTGAGTCTCAGACCACCACATGGAACTGAGTCCAGTATAGTGTTTCATTGTTTACATTGGACAATTGACAAAATGTTGACGCTGTTGTCAGGTGGTATTTGCTTTTCAGTATTGGATACAAATATGTCAATCAATCCTGCAGCCTGAGTTCTCATTTAAATTCCTGCAGCATTGTGGTCTAAATGCCTTAAATAAAACTGCATGTATTTTTACCCACCAGGGAAAAAGAAGTCCAAATTCCAGACATTCAAGAACTTCTTTGCGAAGAAGAAGAGGAAGGAGGCTGCAGCTCCTGTGGGGGAGAGTGGGTTGAAGTCCAGTCAGTCCAGTGATGATGTTAACACTCCTGAGCCGACCCCCTGTGCACACTGAGAAAGACAGTGACTCTGGGTAGGAGGATGATTTTTAAAACCAGTTGTCTCTGCATTGTTGTATTGTACCACTCTGTGTGGTGCCAAGTAATGTGTTAGAATTAGCTCACTGGGCCGATGATGAGGTAAAACTCTACATATCGGACTTTCATACTTTTCATATGCATATATATATATATATATATATATGTGTATATATGTATGTGTGTGTGTATATATATGTTGTCCTTTACATTGAGTGTGAATTTCATGTTGAATGGACCAAAAGAAGTGGCCGAAAATTCCTTCTCCTGTAAAGTTACTATTTTGGAGATACGAGGTTTTCTTCCAACAATATATATATATATATATATATATATATATATATATAGAGAGAGAGAGAGAGAGAGAGAGAGAGAGAGAGAGAGAGAGAGAGAGAGAGAGAGAGAGAGAGAGAGAGAGAGAGAGAGAGGTAATTTGACAAGTCGACAAGGGGTGCCAAAAATTTTTATACATCTGCATCTGCCACTTAAGCCCACAGCAGTTTAGCACCGCCCATCATGCTGAAGTCATATTAAGTGTTTCAGCCCAGATTACTTACTAAGTGAGATGCCATACAGGGACAGGGCAGGGAAAGAGGTCATTTACTTAAATCTGTCCGGAAACAGCCTGTTTAGTTCTAAGGGATGTAGAGTGGTTTGGTCATAGTCATGTAAAAGTGAAATAGAACTGATTTTGGAGTGTAAATACACAAGAATGTCATAAACAGACTTCAAGAAAAAGCTAAAATACGAGTGAATGTTAGATGTAGCCTCTGAGATATATTTTCTCAGATATAACTGTACTAATCCACAAAATAAAGACAGTTAACAGTGCAAAGATCAGTGGGTCTCTATAGCTGAAACTGAGGAATCCTGGAGTGAGTTGTGTTCTGTTATTTGAGGAATGCAGTATTTACTCAAGTTATAGCTTAACCTGCACATGCAAACATTAAAGCCATGTTTCTGCTGCATCATCAGTAACAGCTAAACATACAAAAACAGCATCTCCGTAGGTTATCAGTGCATGCATTAGTCAAGAGCTTGAAGCTTTTGCACCACAGCACAGCAGAGTAGGGTAGACTCAACTGCACTGCCACTTTCGAGAGGCTTCCAGCTCCATGTAAGGCACATTTTTGTGCTGAGTTCAGATGTACAGCAGGGAATTAGCCAACGCTCTCCCGCTGGCATGATCAGCTGTATAATAAACACACTGTTTTTCTATGTGAGAGGGTCAGAGCGGAGTGCTTTGCAATCCGAGGAAACCACTCTGGGCTGGGGGATGGGGAAGGACACGAGGCCAGATATGTATTAGGCCAAAAAGCCATTGACTGTGCAAACAAAATATAGTACATTTATGAAGTATAATTACACTTTTTCATAGAGTTTTTTTAAGTTTATGAAAGAATATGGAAAATCTAGTTAAATGTGATTATATTTTGAAATGCAAATATTCTTTTTTTTTCATTTAAAGTCCAAAAGCATACATTTATACTCGGCCGTTTAGGCTGCACTCCAACCCGTACACTTGTATTTTACAAATTTAAAGGGCCAATATAATGGAAAACCACATGTATACATTGTCAGAGTTATAACATATCGTTCACTCCCCTGTCCAAACAGTTCATATATGAAAACTAAGCTGCTAAAACAGCTTAAGTTCTTTGTTTTTGTGATGCCACAAACCTACACATTTACACAAAGTGCATCTGCCTGTTTAACCTACAGCATCTTACCCATTTACATTGAAGTCATAAGTAATGTTTTTGCCTGGAATGCTTTTTGAAAGTGGTAAAATGCAGGACAGCCAATCAGAAAAGAGCTCATTTACATATATCAGTTTTAAAGGCACAGTAACAAAAAATTTACCTGATTAATTGCAAAGGTCAAAGAGAAGTTTAAAAATGGTCATGAAAAAAAATGAAGTATGATTGGTTTTGGATTATAAACCCACACAGACATCATAAGTAGATTTCACAGAACAAATAAAATACAATAAAAATATAAGATGCAGGCCCTTTAACGGTTTATATACCTCAGTATCACCCCAAACATCTAAGTACTTTAAAGAGCCTATAAAAAGCATATATACATAAATGGAATGTGAAATGAGTAGTTTTTCCTGCTTAGTTTATTTAGACTGTATAGATGTTTACATTTACATATTATATCAAACTCTTTTATTTCAAAGACAGTGAGGGAATGTTGATTTCCCTTGATACAGACCATTTAAACAGTCTTTCTTTTCATAGGTCCAAGATCAACATGGGGAACAAAGCTTTGTCGCATGACAGCGTCTTCGCCTCCGATTCGCCCTCTTCTGAGACTAATGAAGCTCTCGGAGCCTCTCAGGACAGCATACACGGGAAAGTCAAATCTCTGCAGGTATTATAGAACTTTCTAAGTGCATATGCTTACTTTTTCTGCATTATACTTCATAGGATTTTCCACCTGAGAGATTTATGTTTGTTTACCTATAAACAGTTAGTGTCCTAACTAAGTCCTGTGAGTGGTCGTTCTCATGTAGCTGACAGAATGGGCTCAGATGTGTCCAGGGTGTGTATCTCCTCTGCAATCCTCTTCACTTTAATCAGTATTAGACTTGGCACTCCATTGGGCCTTGGTATAAAATTAGCAAGCCTGTACATAAGCCTCTAGACACAAGCTTGATGTGTGTGGTTTTGACATCTTGCATGTAGCCCAATTCGGACAGAGGAGAGTGTATTCAAGGTGACCGATCAGAAAGAGACCAAAACAGACTAAAGAACGATCTGAAGACATTTGTCAGAGTAATTTAGCATCTGTATCATTAAACATATCACTTTTTTGGATAAAGGATTTTAGTTTCTCTGATAGATTTTTTTTGTATAGACTACATCATGATTTATAAGCCTACTTAAACTAATGTCTCCGTCTCCACAGTGTCTGCTGGCATGAGCTAAATGTGACTGTGGAGGTCTTTTTATGGTGGAATTTGGTCTGAAATTTATATCACAGTGATAGTTACTGTACAGCTGAGGATATTTATTGCATAGCATGTGTAATCAAGCATTTATGATCACTTCAAAGGGTCAAATGGGAAGGTGGTGTCTGGTATATGTGAGAATTGGATTTGTTACTTTTGATCCTTAAGCTTTTTAACTCTAAGATTATTGCACCACTGTAATGAAACCTTGTCTTTCATTCATTCATTTATTCATCAATTTATTTATGTTTAGTTAATTTTTGTTAATAAAAACGTTATATATTTGGGGGGATCTGCAAGCTTATATTTACAGTGAATAGAAAAACACATTGGTCTATGGGTCGATGAATTGAATGAAAATGAAGAGTTGAGAACACATTTCAGACTTTTAACTGACTTGGAGTTTAGAGTAAAATCGTTTTGCTTTGTATGACCCTATACTTTAATTATATTTATTTTATTAAAACAAATGATTGAACATTTCCATTTGTTACTACTAAAACAATCATAACACTACTGAAACTTTACCAAATGTTTCGGTAGTGACCGTTCTGTAGTGGCCATTTTAGCCAGTTTTGAGCATAATTTAGAAACACTGACTGACAAACACAGCTTTGAACAGCTGTACACATAAAATATTTTCATTAAAACACAAAAAAGTTTACTAATTTAAGAAAATACGTGTTTCAGTAGTGACAATTCTTAATGTTACACACTGACTTTCAGACTTTGGGACACATTTACTTCAAAACAATGGGTTTTAACTGCCCACTATGTGGCCATCAGGGACAGGGATGCAGTCTCAATTCCTGCTCTAAAATACAGGGGCGTGGCTAAAACAAGGCTCCGCCTATGGACTAAATCTTTGTGTTTTGTGAATGACTCAGTGTCTCAGTGAATGCCTTGGGTTTAAATGGATTATAAAATGATTCTTGTAAAAACTGGTCTGAATATTAATTGTGGGACCGCAGGTTGAACTAATGTGGTAGAATGGTCTATACCAGAGGTCACTAATAGGCGGACCGTGGTCCAAGTCCGGACCCAAACGCTGTCCTATGTGAACCTGGACCTATAACCGATAAACCATGAAGAATTATTTAATTTCGACGGGGTGGTCCTATTTTAATCGGCGAAGCTTGTCTAGCTTTTACAGTACGGCTTTAGCGGCCGGGAAACATCGCATGTGTTGTAAATATGACACGTGACGCTACTCAGCCAATCAGATCTGTGCATTACGATGAGCACTGAGACCCTGAGAGAGTGACTCGCACACGGGAGGGACGAGGCGAGAAGGTGAGGGGGCCGGCTGCAGACTCTACAGGCAGTCGGAGGAGAAAGTGAGTCCGAGGGAAGTTATTTCACATGGTGTGCTCTGAAAAGAGAAAACTGACAATAAACGTTGTTGAAATATGACTGAATTTACTTTATTTGATTTGACATTCAGTTGTTGACTACATAAGGTGTTGATATACGTACTAGGCTACTTCAGTCTACTGTTCATGCCACTGAATCATGATGCAAGTTAGACTTTATGATGTTCCTTATTGAATTTTAATTAAAGACCCCTGGTCTATACAAATCAGGCAGAAGATCGATGCCTTCATAGAGTTAATGTTTTGCTCCACAGCTGCAGCTGAAGCAGGCTATCCGGCTGGGCTCTCCGCCGGCAGCAGTCTCCGCAAGGAAGGGTGAGGATGCCGGGACTCTGTCGGAGGATGATGGCCTGCCCTGCAGCCCACCAGAGTACACCACCCTCCACACCGTTCTGGCCACTTCCTCTCAGAGGGTAAGGCTTCCTGCTACCACAGCTGCTCTCTGTAAAAGTATTTAAACAAATGTTTTGTTTGACTTGATTTTTCCTCTTAACACAAACATAAGGCATGTTTCGTGTCAGAAGCAGGGATGGGTGTTTTAAAAAAAATTATTATTTAAAAAAAAAAAATTCTAATAATACCACCACAACAAAAAAAGTATAGGACTCTTAAGTATAGAGGCTACCGCAAACTGGGTGCATCGGGTGGACGTCACTCAGCACCTGAATATTGCTGTACTATGTTAAACCCAGACCCAGACGCAAATAATAGTAACCTAGTAGATGATTTGCCTTGAATTACACAACGAAAAGTGTCTGAAGTCTTTGAAGATAAACAGATAAATGCCAGTCGTCTGTTTTCACATTATCTAACGTTACAAGCCTAGTCATTTCACATGTTTGAGATTGTACCTTTTCACTGAAAACAGCAGGTTAGTGGAGTGTTTGTTAGCTGATACCAAACCTAATGAATTCACTAAATGATATCAAAACTATTACATGAGATTCATGAGTAGAGTGTAAAATAAAGCTTCCTTTTCATTGACGCATATCTGTGAAGCTGCTTATGTGCTGTAGCTGTGCTTTGTACCTTCAACTCTGGCAGCACCGCACCGTGCATTTTCTCCAGTGTGCATTAGCCTTTAGCCAGCTGCAGTAGTCCTTTAATGCTTTGTGCGGTGCACAACTCCCAGTTTTCTCTACTCCTGCCACTGGAGTCAACTCACTTTTTCTTTTTTTAAGACAGCACCAGAGCCACAGATACAAAGATACAGCCAGGGTGCCTGGTGAATAATAATCGAGTGGAATACTAACTCCTTGAGCCAATAACGGCGTTACGTGTGGAAAACGTGGAGTCGACAGCGTTGAGGAGTTGACTCCAGGCATTTCGACTCATGTCTTTGGTCAAGAGTCGAGCCCATATGAGAGTCAAAAAAAGTCTTTTGGAGTCAGCTTCCCATCTCTAATGCTTTCTTTGACATAAATTGAGACCAAAACGTAAGACTCTGTCTCTACACTGTCCTCTGGTGGAGAATGGAGTTTTTCTTAAACCCTTAAATGGCCAGGGCCTGTCGGTGGGCCCAAAGATTTATTACAAACTTCTTTGACCTAAGAATAGCTCAGTTAGTTTGCAATGGAGTCCCTGTAGTTGCCTTGGTATGTAATAAGCCTGGGATTTAAAGGGTTAAATATGAAACTGTGTAAAGAGAAGCTAATTGGCATGTAAAAAAATCAAAATTTACTATTAGATTTTTAAATCTTTCATGATCATTTTGAAAACTCTGCCTTATCCCTACTTTGGCATTTAAGTTTTGTGCTGGAGCCACAAAGCTAATGTTGCTAATAAAGAATGTACCCCAAAAATTAGCAACCTGCAAACCGCATACCTAAATCACAGCCGCTACGAAATGCGTCCAGTTGTTGAATCATCTAAAATACTTTTTCTGTGGTTTCTGATGCTTTATGACAGGCTGCAATTTAAAAAAAATTGACAGAAGTTTTATCATATCATATGTTAATGTGGCAAGATGTGTGCATACATGTAATTTGTTTATTTCCTTTAAATTTTATCTGCTGTGTCTCCACTGCAAACTGAACTAGAGTTCTGACCTCATTGGCCTTATTAGTGGAAAATGCTCTTTGTGTTTTGTAGTTCACCTTCATCACAAAAGCTACAGATTTGTAGTACTGACCGGCACCTCACAGCATTTTCTAGCATTTGATTGGCTGAGACAGAGTGTATACTGTAGCATATCATTATCTTTATCCTTAGCAACACACACTGAAAGTACCCCATGATCAGTGCGTTAGGCGTCAGTGGTCAGGCATGTGAGTGAGTCAGGCTCCCGGCAGCGTGTGATAGTATCTGACATCATGGGGCCTGAGCGCAGAGACAGGAAGCTCCCTGCTGAGTTGTCTAACTGGATTAAGCCTGGTGCTTGTCCTCACTCAGCTTTGGGCCCTGCTCCTTGTACCTGTCTGCTCTCTCCATTCATGTCCTTCCTGTCATGGACACTGTGTCCCTGCCTGCCCTGTGTGGCTCACACGCAAGCCAAAAGAGAAAAGCTCACCATTAATTCACATCAAAGAGCACCGTACTGGTGCTACATTTAGGCTGGTGTTGCTGACCAGGGCACAAGTATCCAACAGCCGGATCCCAGTCCAGTAATAATTTATACCTTAAAACGTCACAGATTTCCTAACTTTTTTCTGCCTCTTGTATTAAAGATGCAGGCTTATAATACCAGACATGCTTTGCAGTCCAGAATCGTGATGATGTCAGAGTAAATTAACTGCCCCAATGCTTGCTGCAGTGAGACCACACTTCAGTTCCTCACTCTCTAACTTACATATTAGTTTCAAAGTAGTTATTAAATAATATGTCTGTAATTTAGGGTGTTAACATAGTGCTTAAAATGTGTTAGTCAGAATAAGTTAAAGATGCTCTCATTCACTTTAAAATATTTGACACTGCCCAGAGATGATGTATTCCAAAAACAGAAATACACTATTGGGCAGATTTACTACATAAGGTGCTAATTACTGACAGTCTACTGACATTTTGCATCAGCAGCGGTGGCCAATTTGGCACGATATTTACAAAAAAACTCACTGATGCAAATTAATACGGGTACATCTTTGTAATTAGCTTATGACCAACCGGGTATAACCCACTGTTTGGCTCACATGCTTTTTGGAAAGAAAGCTTGTTTATAATATGGAGACCAAGAAGTGTTTTGCTTTTCTGTTTCTGTTTGTGACTTATTAGCCTAAAATAATGACGTTTTACTATTAATTTAAAGTCATAATTAAGGGGCAGATTTAACATTGTTTTGCACTGTCATAAAGTCCATTTTGGTGTTAAAAAAAAAAAAAAGTGGCGGTTGTGATTTACTAAATAAGCACAAAAGTTCTTCAGCGCCCATAAAAAGGTCAGGGGTGGTCACTGCTTGTGTGTTGTCTTGCTTCATTGCATATGCATTTGTGGGACTTTCCTCCTGAAAGAGCTAAACACTGACAGGAGTCTATTACAATGAAGCACCTGCACCCATTTACAGAGGCTGATAGTAAGTACAGACTGTGCGTTGTTTAACGCTTGTGAAAGTCTGGTCTTATTTTTGGTGGTAACTTTAGTTTTTCGAACACATTTCCTTTTTTTTTAATAAAACAAAAAAACTGGCACAGTATTCTTAGTGTGATGAAGGAAACAAATAAAAAATAGCTTAGATAAATAGTTTTAGGGAAAACAGTGTTTTAAACTGCTGTTTCCTCACAGATTTGTTTTTGCCTAAATAATGACGGACAAAACGATTTTTAAAAGCATATTTTGAGACTCTTTGGCTCTGTGATCCCTGCTTTACTAAAACTACTCCTCACTTTGTTGCTGTGGCTTGTGTGGTTTATGTGCACCGTGGCAGGAATGTCACAGCCATTCTATGATGTACTGCATGTAACTCAAAATCATACAATTACAAAATACAGAGTTTCCAGCGTCACACGTTTCCAAATGCACTCAGCACAGAGCTCTAGTTCAGCTCATCACACCAGCCAAAATAATTATTCTGTTCGGTGATTATTCTGTTGAAATAATCACTCATTCCTCGACGAGTAATTACTTTTTTTTTCAACTTGGAAAGTCAAAAGGTCTTGAAAGAAATAAGACAATATTTCAACCGCATGAGTCACAGATTGAACCTGAAATAGATGGATAAGATCTTTTTTTTTCCTTCCTACCTGGCTTTCATACAAAAAGCATGTGAGCCAAACACATGGTTATATTTCCCTAACAATATGTTATGTCTGTGTGTCTAATATGTCTTAGTCGGTACCCCGCTGAATTGGGAGCCCCCACCAGCCCAAAGTGTCTACAGACTGTCAGTAATTAGTGCCTCTGTTAGTAAAGCTGCCCCTTAGTTAAAAAAATAAGTACTCGTCATGAAGTATAATTAAAAAAAAACAATAATTTTGCGAATATAAGACATTATTTCAACATAATCCATCATGTGAGAAAATTATTCATTATTTTGACTTTCATTTGAAACACATGTTTATTTTCAGTGCGATAAGCAGAACTTCCCTGACGAGTGTATTTAGAGACTGTGCGATGCTGTAAAATCCCTGTTGAATTTCATTTTGCTTGCGGTGAGCGTTGCATCTTAGCAACATGCAGTACAACCGAAACCACAGGATGCATAAAGTAAATCATTTTCAGTATGGGCAGTCACAATAATTTAGAAAAAGAAGATGGTTAAAACCTTTTTTTAGGCAACATCTGCTATTAAGACACTTTGATGGTGTCGTAACGTATGTAGAAGATGTTTTTCCAGAATAGTCTGGTTTTATGTTTTTAAGTCCTGCATCAAATTCAGAACAATGTGACATGGCAAACGTTTACTTATAAATGTTTCCAGAAAGCTCTCTTTTCTCTAGCACGAACAATGGTAGCCATGTTAGCACCAAAAATCAGACAGGCTTTACACAGGTGTGAATTAATGCATGGTCAGTATTTATAATCAGTCTCGGTACATCAGTGTAGGTGATTCATTATAATAATCTCCTCCCAGTATTTTGTGCATTGAATGAGGCAGAAGAACAAAATAGCAGCAAATGCACCTTTGGCCTTAAAACTGGCACTTAAGGGCCATTGCGCCTGTTTAATGCAACTGTGGAGAAGGGGGCATGGCCGAGCGTCACAAGCAGGACGGAGAGCCGGCCAGGCTGAACCAGCGGGCTAAGTAGCTGATGATATTCACCCGTGCCTTGTTTCTGCCAGCCTACTTAAAGCCATCTCTTTCCTCAGTCAGTGGCAGAGCCCAGAGAGAAGGAGACCGGTGGAGACGTGAGAGCAGAGCTGAGCAGAGCTAAGAAAGCAAAGAAAAGAAAACCTGAAGAACCCCAGCGAGCATGTTGTCTTATTTTGTCTGTGGGCTGAAAAGCCGAGTGGTTTTTGTGTTGTGTATAAATAAACCCAGCCCTCCGTCTCCACACCTGCTCCCGGTGTCCTCACTCCTCCCACCCTTCAAACTTGTTACAGCAACAATCTTTTTAAACTTCAAAATAGGGTTTGTTACAGCGCAAAAAGCCCCTCAAAACCTGCTCATCCAGTGTTTCTCTGAAATCAAGGGTATCAGTAAAAATTTGCCCCATGCTTGCTGCAGTAACAGCCTCTACTCTTATGGGAATAGTCTACCTGACACTTGACATTGGACATGGTGACCCTAGGCTCATGTGTGGCTGTTCCAGAGGGTCCTGCTGTATTGGCAGTGCTTTTCTGTGGAGAGTATACAAGCTGTGTGTGTGCTGTGTCAGCAAGTTCATCTTAAAGTAGTGAAATTCACCTTAAAAACGGCGTCTGGATACTTTTTGACATGTAGTGTAAGTGACGAGGGCAGCTGGAATAACCTCTCTCTTACTGTTGTCTCTCTGCAGTCGTCTGGTGTGGTCCAGAGAACCAGCTCCCTTAGCCTGGAGGGAACCGACAGCGATGATGATCAGGTAACATACTCCTCAAAGTCTCAACCAAAAGAGCCATTTTCAATAACGCTCAATGTAAAGGCTCCCAAATAGTTCTTGGCTTGTTTGTAGGAAAACCCATCATTGGTGTAGAACATTGATGTGGAGTGAATGTTCTTTAAAATGTATTAAAAAATTGGGCAGCGTTCTGAGGGAGGTCCCAGAGCCCATAAGACTATTAAACAAAGATTTGGCCAAACATGTTGGTGCTCAAGGCCTTGCACAGATATTTTGTGGGGTAGGGGCTTAAAAAGGGCAGCCTAAAAATAAATAAGACTTTATTTAATACGCAGCATATGGGAATCTAATCTTTTTCAGTGGAAAGTAATTGTAGTGTTAGTAAGTCTTCCATAAAGCAGCCCGAATCTTTGCATTTCTGCCAGCGCTGGGAACTGAACCCCAGACACCAGAGTGCAGGGCTGTGGGTGGCATTGACTTCTACTCTGCCTAGACTATTAGACATGAGCTATCATGAATTATCACTGTCTTTAAAAGGTCCACGTTGCCTCGAAAACTTTGTTCGAGATCCATTTAGGTTTAGCATGTTATTGAAATCCCTTGCAGCCAACGTTATGCTTGGTTAACCACAATTAAAGAGACCTTATCTGGACTTTGTCAATGGAATTTCCAGTGCTGTGGTGATGCTTGCCCAAGTAATCTAAAGGAGGCGTGTGAACGATGAAGCTTGTTGAACCCAAGCCAATACAGTAGCTCTAGCTAGTCTGACTCAAAGGTGAAGTACACCAATATTTTCAAACTTTTGCACAATTCAATCATTAAGATGTAAGAAGTCATTTAGAGAAATTTGATGTGAAATGTTGCCAATCTAGAGAGTCAGATTTGTTCACAAGAGTGGTGTTAGGAACCCAGATGTCTGAAATATTTAATGCCTCTAAAAGCCACCTTGCAAAAAGTTGTTATATGAAATGGTTATAAATGCATCGTCGACTGCCAGAGACATTGTTGTACGAATGTTTTGAGAGAAACTTACCACATACAACATATTTTTTAAATATTTGCATGGTGGAGAGGCACATAGGCACAATAGTACCCAAAAAGGTGTATTTTTTATGATTTTGCACAATTTTTATCAGAATTACATAGAAACACATGTTGGTGGTTTCAGTAAATAAAATGATTATTTTTGCACTGTAGACATTGCAACCCCTGGTTCCTATTACCCCCACTGTAAAGTGAGTTAGTACATTTCTCTACAGTGAACCATTCATGTCAAACTACTCTGAATGACTTTGTTTACATGTCAGTAACTGAATTAAGCAGGAATTTGAAATACTGGTGGAATTGTCCCTTTAACTGTGCCTCACAGTAATGGATCCTGAATAACAGCAGATGCTGTGTGTAAAATATAGAGTGCTCACCAAGAGGACACTTGTAGTGTGAGGGCAGGGGCTCAAGCCCAAACCTACCCCCCAGGAGTGTATCTGTGCAGGTGCTTGATATTGCTGACCATTATATTGTCTAAATTTCTGATTTTTTGGATCCTCTTTATCATTTTTCACAGTGTTAGCAGCTGAAAGTTTATTCTACGGCTTCACTCCAAAAACCCTTTTTAGCACCTCTCTTTTAAAATACATCCTCGCACACAAACAAAGCCCTTTATTACTGACAGTTTACACTTTATAACACTTTATAAATGGGATTATTTTGGTCAGGTCTACCATTAGACTGACAAAAACATGTTTAATGTGATGAAACCGAGTAATCAAATGCTCGACTTCATACGTAAGGTGGTGTAATTTATCTCCTCATGACATGCTTGTAAATCCAGCCTGTAATATAAAGTAGCATCTGATGTAGCACAGGGCTCCGCATAAGCCCCCCCAACACACACACACCACCTACAGGGTGCTGAACATTTCCAGACTCTCAGTGATGCGACTAAACACTTTCACAGAGTGAGCTGTGTGTGAGGTCAGCTTAGGTACACAAATCACACTGACAAACAACATATTGACTCTGAGAAGAGGAATCCAAGTGTTCGGAGGCTGTTATTATGTGGTTAATGGCTGCAGCTAGATGTGGGCAATTACAAGGCAGGGAAGAATGTTGGTGGGAGAGGAACCAGGGGAGAAAGGCAAGCATCGTAAAAGCAGTGGAGCTTTTTAAAGAAGCAGTGTGTGTGTCTGTGTTGTGTGTGTGTGTGTGTGTGTGTGTGTGTGTGTGTAGGTGGGTGTGTGTGTGTGTGTACTGTACTGCAGAAGTCAAAGACAGCCCTTCATTTAATACTTTTCCAGTCAAAACGGCCATGAAGTACAGGTTCATTTTCAATATATCGCTGAGGGTCCAAATAAAACCTTGTACCTCCATTTTTGTAGTTTTTCAGTTTATGACATAATTTCAGTGCCTGTTGTCCTTTACATTATGTATAAATTTCATGATGAATGGACCAAAAGAAACGACTCAAAATTACTTGGAAAAAACACTTACATTAAAAGTAAAGTATGTTTTTTGCTTCTCCTGTAAAGTTATCAGGTTTGGTTCTGACAACAGCGATATATTTCACATATGTAACAGAAGCCTTAACTACTAAATGTAATATCACATGTTGTGTTATTTAATGTGTCCACTCTTTGCCTCATTATAGCTTCCATTCTTTTCAAGAGACCTGCTTTCAGTTTTTCAGAGAAATCTGCAGGGATATTTTTTACATCTCCAAAGTTCAGTCTTAGAAGTTGGTTGTATTCTCTGCTTCTCACAATCCAAGGAATCCTAATTACAAATTTAGACTCCTCAGACCATAAAACCACATCTCAGATGTTTAGTTTTGGTGGTTTTTCTTCTTTTCATCTGTTTCCTTTTCTCAGTAACAACTTCTTAACAGCTACACGTCCTTTCAGACCCATAGTGTTGAGTTGTCTTCTTATAATGGAAGATTTGAAACAGGAGTGGAGCTGGATTCTCTGCTGTTTCTCGAAGAATTCTCTCAAAGCACTGTTTATATGACAGTTTTGGCGGCTCTCCCCTTCGTTATGCATGTGGCTCCTTTTGTATCGTTTCTCTTCAGAAATATATCCTGAAAATTAATAACTTGTGCTTAATGGCTGTTTTTCATGGAAATTAAAAAAATGAAGGTTAAAAGGTTGACTTTTGCAGTACTGCGTTTGTCTGTTGCTATTACGTAGTACAGGGAGATTCACTTGAAAGAGGCCCTGAATATTCTGTTTTAAGTCCCGTTAGGTTGAATCAATCTGAACCAGAAAATACGCTACATACCTTGACGCGCTGCTCAATACTGTACACCACCATCCTGATGAGAAGTCGAAAGACTGAGTGAAGGGGTACAGGTGTATGCACCCAGAAGTTGCAACTGGAGGTTAAACGTTGCGAAAGCTGTCCGGCGCCTACCTCATCGCTCCGACGCAGGGGTATCCCAGCTTGTTTGAAGCTCCATATACTGAGGAGCACATTGCATGTTGTTTGGTTCAGATTGCTTCGTCCTAGAGAGAGTTATTACAGAATATTCGGGGCCTCTTTCGAGTGAATCGCCCTGTATAATTTTGAGTTCTGTTGGAGCACTCAGTGAACATGTCTCCTAAACATAGGAGTGTTAAACAACAGGATTTGGAAGCTTTACAAATGCAATCTAAACTGCGTCTTCGCAGGCTGTAGTAGGTCTGGGGTGGTGCTGCATGAATGCTGTGTTATCAGGGGTATTCCAGCTCTGAATAGGCAGGTCAGCGTTTATAATCTGCTTTAAGATATTTTTTTCTAAGCACAGTTGCTAAATTCAGACACTTGGACTGCTGATTTTCAAAAAGTTGGGACAAAAGTCCGCCCCCTGGAAATCAAACTGTTGAATAAACAACTATAAATTGTCATCTTTGGTCTTTGGAAAGCGTATGTCATGGTGTAAATGTTATTGAGTGTTATTGAAGGGTCTGCGGTGCAATAAGAACATGAAGTAAATTAAATTATGCAGAGCTTTTTGATTTTCACTCTTCTGTTTATGCGCCGTTTTGTCAGACAGTCGAGTGGGGAATTCCTACAACACCAGATTAGATTTTCTCTTCCAGCATGTGACTTTGCCGTGCTGCTGACCACACAGACACACACATTCTGAAAGAGACTCCAAAGCAAACTCAGATCTCTCTCTCTCTCTCACACACACACACACACATACACACACACACTTGCTCCATCATAATGAGACCTTAAAATAGGTGTCATGTGTTTTTGTTTTGTGTTTTTGAGCCTTCAAACGCAACCGAAGCTTTAGCGGCTGTTAACAGTTGTGGTCAGTTTGAAAATGCAGCACACTGTCTGAGATCCTCCTCAGAAAAGGAACTTTATGTTCTAGATCAGGGGTTCTTAGTCTTTTTCACAGTGCAACCCTTTTTTGGGGTGAAAAATATCTGTGCCAACACACCCACCCTCTGGCCCCCCCACACATATCAGTACACACATTAAAGAAAATACAGAACGATAATCAAATAGTGGTCAGTTCACTTACTGGGCCTGCATTCCTTAGCACTTCACCACAAACCAAAAATCTTTAGCTGGACACTGATGAATGCTGCAAGTTCAGTGGTCAGTCAAGACCCTCTCTCAGTAATAAGCTCACCCAGTAGATATTCTACAATCAACACTGGCCTGTCTTGCTTGGTCTGTAGGAGGAGCCAAAGCTTGTATGCACTCATCAAAATGATTTTCTCTGTGTTTGATAAGGTATATATCCACTCTCATGACCCCCCCTGGAACCATGTCCTGACCCCCAGGACAAGAACCCCCTATTTTAAGTATACTGTAAACTTTGTGATGTGTTTTTACTCCTTAAACCCTTTTTCCAGTGCTAACACAGGCTAACAATACCAGACATACTGTAGAGTCCAGAATCATTAGAGATAAATGGGCATCCATTAGAATGGTGGGCAACTACATAGGTAACCAAGCATTTCTTTTCATCCCATTTATCGTTATAGTTTCGTTATTTCACTACAGCTTGTTTCTCATATTGCGTATGC